TTGTATACAAGTCCTTATCTTGGTACAGATGCAGATTGGCAAAGGTTTCTAGATGTTGTAAGTCCCTTTCTGGCTTTACTATTGCACAAACAGTATTACAGAGCAGGTGCTCGCTGCGTGACTTGTGCATATCCACTTGCTGAGTTACATGTAAGTAACTTTCTTCATGCCAAAAGTAAATGAACATACTCTATTGTATCTCTCTTCTTAAGAAACACGCACACACATTTCCACATAGGTTTTGTGTGCTTCTGGTGAATAACATGTTCTGGAAGATTAATGACCCAAGAGTGATGATAAGCAGGGTTAGGGGATTATGATGAACAAATCCATAGCACCAGACCTACTTGATTACATTTTTATTAGTACTGAATTGCAAAATTAGTGTTGGAAAGGAACGTAGTAGATATACTACAAAGTCTCTACACTGTAGGAAAGCATGATTCCGTGCTTCTGGAAATGTAATGGCTGTGTCCATACTCACAGTAACAGGCTGGCAGGACTCAGATTTTAAGGGACCATTATGATAATCTAGTCCAGTGGTTCTCAACGAGGGGTATATGTACCCCTGGGGATACACGTGAAACTTCCAGGGGGTACATCAACTCATCTACATATTTGTCTAGTTTTACAACAGGCTTCATAGAAAGCACTAGTGAAGTCAGTACAAACTAAAATTTCATACAATGTGCTGTGACACTTTTGTATTTTTATGTCTGATTTTGTAAGCCAGTAGTCTTTAAGTGACGTGAAACTTTGGGGGTACACAAGAAACTTTGGGGGTACACAAGACACCAGGGGTACTCCTGGAAGGGGTACAGTGGTCTGGAAAGATTGAGAGCCACTGCTTGACCTCCTGCATAACACAGGCCATAGAAATGCACCAAGTGATTCCTGCATCAAATTTAAAATTTCTGGTTGAGCTAGAGTACAACTTTTAATACTTATAGACATAAAATACGGTGAAGGTCCCACTAGATCAGTGGGACTTCAGCATGTGCTTAAGTGCTTTGCTCAATAGGGATTGCCTACTCAATCAGCACCTGGAACTGGGCAAGAAGTGGATTTTCCGTTTTATAAGAAATTCTCTGAATTTGGCTGTTTTGTTCTGAAACAGAACAATAACAATTTTTTAAATGTCCTGAAAAATGAAATTCTAAAGGGAAAAAAAATCAGATCAAATTGTTTTGATAAAAAATCAAAATATTTTTCCAATTTTGACATTTTACATTTTGTTCATAATATAAAATGTCATTTCAAAATGAAAAATCAAATGTGTTCTCTTTTCAAAATGAAATGTCATAAAAATTGATCTGTTTCCATGAAACTTTTTGCTTTCAATGAATTGGCAGATTCTGACAAGAGTAACGTTCTTTTGGGAAACTTCCAACCAGCTCTTGTGACCTCAAATTAAAAGGCTGAAGGAAGAAGTAAACCTGGAGCCACTGCAGTGCAAGGGGTAGGGGAGTGTAGGAGGGAGAAAGAAGTCTGTGGGGAACACAGAGGGGAGAAGAGATGCTGGGAAGCAGATGGCAGCACTGTGATGAGAGGGAGAGCCTGAGAAGCTGGAAGTGTTTATTCTAACAAGGGTGTAGAGGCACAGGGAGGTGAGAAGGCTGGTATTACAAGACCAGAGAGAGACTGGCAAGTGGGTACATTTTAGCAGAGGAGAGGCACTAACAGGTAGGTGGGAAAGACTTCCTCTTCCGTTTTTTCACAATTACCTGTTTTTGTTGACCATTGATGGGCACCGTATAAGAATCTTATTAAATTTAGTTGTTCTTGTTCAATTTAAGTTTCAAGAAAGACCTGAGAGGGAGGGGTAAGTAGGCAACTTCTAATTGCAAGGGGGAAAGGAAGCATTTTTCTTGAGCAGGTGAACCACTGCTCTCCTTCTTGTGCAGTAATATCATTTTGCACAAGTGGTGATTAAGCATGAACTGTTTCAAATTATTTGTCCCAACATTTTGTGCACCAGAAATGGTAGAAAGTTAGATCAGGAGACGTTTCCTGTAGACAAATACTTCCTCTATGTGCAAGCATCAGGAAAGGGCCTTCTCTCATGCAACCCACAGAAATATGGAAAGCAACTAGTCTCCCAATTTAGCTTGAAGTGATTGACCAAAAAACAAACAAACACCCCCCCACTTTTTGTTCAGATTGAATGTTCTAGTGCTGCCGCAAAATATTCTCCTCCCCCACCCCTAGGTCCCCCACCAAATGGAAATGTTATATTTGGTTCAGAAATAAGAGTGCAGGGAATGTGAACAGAGTGATGTCAGAGGTATAACTTCACCCAGGATGCTCTGGTTCTATGGTGGCAGAGAAGACATGCTCCTACAGTGTAACTTTGGTCTTCAGTTTAGTTACTGCTGTTATTAACAGTTCAGAAAGGCAGTAAGAGGTAGGGTGAAATGGGGCAGTCCAATTCTGCCCTCACTTATGGCCATGCAACCTCTTGGAAGTCCATGTGTTACCCGGGGTTCTTTCAACCCAAAACTCTTGGTAACTCTTACTCTGTGAGAGATGGTGTCAAGAAATAAATCAGGGGAGACACGTCCATCCGACCGATAGATGGCTGGCACAAACAGGACAACACAAGAGTGCTTTCACTTAAAGCTAAACTTTACTTAGTCTCAAGCACTTACAGATGTCCATAATAGGTTAGTAAAACACCCCCAATCCTCGATAATTACTGAAGCTGAGTGTGGCTGTCGAGTCACAGCCCGTCTGCCGGTGGGGAACACAAAATGCATCCAGAGGGAGAGACCCATTCAACTACCTCAAACTTTCCCCCTTATTTATAAATTAAGTAATACAATGACATGTCACTTAAAGAAACCTTGTTAAGCAAGCAGTTTCCTTCTGATTATTGATTAACCAGGTGTGGTGTTTTTTTTCCAGAGTTTGCAGCCTTGAGGCCCCTAAAATGCATGTATCAACAACGTCAACACAATTCTTATCAGGAAGGATGGGGTGGGGTCAAGCTGCCCTTTCAGTGGCACCCAAAACCCCCTCACCTCCTGCCTTGGTTAAACTAAGCCTGCTGCTTGGCCACTCTACGGCCTGCTGACTTGGCTGCTTTTAGCAATAAGTGATAGTGGTTTCAGGCACTTTACTGGTTTGCCAAAATTTCCCTGTACAGATCCTCTCCTTAAAGGTCACTTTTCATACAAGGAGGCCTTTACATGGTCACTGCCACACCTTTTCTGGATGCACCTGAGTTGAGATCCAACAAAAGCTCAAGGCTCTCAGCCGAGACCGAGCAAATGATCTTCTTGTTGGCATCCCATACTCAGCACACCAGCATAGTAATTGACAAGCGATTGTTTTAGCCTCTTTTTCCCATTTAAGGGAGAGGCGACAAGTTCAATATGTTCCTTTCCCAGGGGTACGAGTGTCGGTGGCAGTAACCACTGATTTATCTGTCGGGGGACTTGCAATTGCCAGATTTTATGCCAGGTCCAGCATGTCATTAGGCTGGTAACAAAAACCACTACTATTTGGCGCCCCAAGATTACCATGATGGGGGTATAGGGCCAAATTCAGGATGCCTGTGCCAGTGGGGGACCATCCCAATAACACTTCCCACCAGTGGTATGACAGGTCTTGGCCAATTCTTGCAAATACCCATTTAATTTCATTGGCATTATGATGCATGGTAACCATGACTCTGAGCCCTTCCTGTTTTGCAGTATATAGCTGGTTCTGTAAATCAGGGTGTACAAACAATGTTTGTAAAGCAGTTAAATCCATTCCAAGGGTCACAGGTGTTACAATAGAATACAAAGTATAAGACACTTTTAACTGACTATTTAAATTTGGGTACATGAAATTCAAAATCACATCCCCTAATTGCTACAATATGACAAACTTTTATTCTCATAAGGATTATGATTTACTTTATGAACATAACTTCGTTTGTTTGCCAATACCTGCCAAGGGGGAGTCTCATGCAACATGGAGGAGGATTTTGTGGATGAGGAAGAGGAGGAGAATGCGCAACAGGCAAGCAGAGAATCTGTTCTCCCTGGCAGCCAGGACCTTTTCATCACCCTGGAGCCAATACCCTCCCAAGGCGGGTTCCCAGACCCTAAAGGCAGAGAAGGCACCTCTGTTGAGTGCACATTTGTAACTTTACTACAGGGGTTAAAAGCAATTGTGTTTAATGTTTGATTTGCCCTGAAGAATTGGATGCATTTGCGGCCAGTACAGATACTGGAAAAGTCTGTTAACGTGTCTGGGGATGGAGCAGGAATCCTCCAGGGACATCTCCATGAAGTTCTTCTGAAGGTACTCTGAAAGCCTTTGCAGAAGGTTTCTGGGGAGGGCTGCCTTATTTCATCCTCCACAGTAGGACACTTTACCACGCCAAGCCAGTAGCAAGTAGTCTGGAATCATTGCAGCACAAATGGCAGTGAATGGTCCTGGGTTATGGTCACATTCATGCAACATTTGGTCTTTATCTTTCTGTCTCAGCCTCAGGAGAGTGATATCATTCATGGTCACCTGGTTGAAATAGGGGAATTTTTGTAAGGGAACAGTAAAAGGACCCCGTTCATGCTGGGCTGTTTGCGCTTGGCTAAAAGGGATCATCCCAGAGAATAGCCACACAGTGGGGGGAAGGGGTGTGCTGCACATCCAACCCAAAACCACAGCCCCCTCCTTTTAAACAGCAAACCCAACCGGTATTGCTTGCTATGGGAAAGGAGGGCGCTGCAGTTTGAAACTATTCCCAGATGTTATGAAGGTGGAAGAAGCCAACCCCGCATACCCTTTGGCTTACCATGGCTGCCTGTAAACCCAATTCTGTTGCCCAGCCTTGTGTGATGTGTCACCATACCGGCAGGCGCTCAATATAAAAGGCAAAATGCGACTTTGTACCGAAAGCACATGTGCTGTCTGGTGTGAATTTCTTGATTCACTGTGAAAGAGTCTCCCTTTTGTTCTCAAAAATGTATCTTCTTAAATTTTACTCTCCCTTTTTATCCCCCCTGCAGGTGCAAACGTTTCTATGCTCCCAGTATCATCTTCATCCCTGAGGTTATTGCAGATTAGAAGGTAGAAAAAAATGCACTCGCGATAACATGTTTTCAGAGCTCATGCAGTCCTCCCACACTGATAGGCACAGCTGAACGCATGGAGGCATTCAGTGGCAGAGGCCAGGAAAGCGTTCAGTGAGCGTGATCAGAACACACAGGAGGAGATGCTGAGGCTAATGGGGGAGCTAACGGACATGCTCAGGCATCTGTTGGAGCTGCAGGAAAGGCAACAAGAGCACAGACCGCCGCTGCATCCATTGTATAACTGCCTGTCTTCCTCGCCAAGTTCCATATCCTGCTCACCCAGACGTTCAAGAACCTGGGAGGGGGAGGCTCTGGGCATCCAGCCACTCCACTCCAGAGGATGGCCCAAGCAACAGAAGGCTGTCATTCAAACAGCTTTAATTTGTAGTGTGGCTACAATAAGCAATGTGGCCTTGTCCTTCCCTCCTCCCCTACCCCACCCGGGCTACCTTGTCGGTGATCTCACTTTTTAAAAAAATAAATAAAGAATGCATGGATTCAAAACAACAGGGACTTTATTTCCTTTGCCAGCTCTGGTTGAAGGGGGGAGGGGGATTGGCTTATAGGGAAGTAAATTCAACAAAGGGCGTGGTTTTGCATCAAGGAGAAACACACACCGTGGCCTGGCCAGTCATGAAACTGGTTTTCAAAGCCTCTCTGATGTGCAACACGCCTAGCTGTGCTCTTCTAATCACCCTGGTGTCTGGCTGTTCAAAATTGGCCACCAGGTGATTTGCCTCAACCTCCCACCCTGCCATAAATGTCTCTCCCTTACTCTCATAGATATTATGGAGCACACAGCAAGCAGCAATAACAATGGGAATATTGGTTGCGCTGAGGTCTAACCCCGTCAGCAAACAGCACCAGTGAGCTTTTATACGTCCAAAAGCACATTCTACCACCATTCTGCACTTGCTCAGCCTATAGTTGAACTGCTCCTTACTACTGTCCAGGCTGCCTGTGTATGGCTTCATGAGCCATGGGAGCAAGGGGTAGGC